AGCAATTTGAAATTTTCCATAAACTAAATGTTCCCCTAAGGTAGAAAACATGTATGCATGTATAAACTTGGTTTTTCTGTCAAAAAATCAAATTAGAAAGTGACATAGATAACAAAATATAATTGAGAGTAAACACATGCAAGAATCATCAATTTGATCTGGAAATTCCAAGACCAATGATATTATAAACATTATTACCATTAGAAATTTTATCGTCAGTGGAATTATATGACTTCTGCAAATATACCAGAGATGGCAAATGATTACTGAGGCTATATACATCATTGACAATAATATTAAGATCTGACAGAGATTTCATTATTACTCCGTCTGGACTAACACATCTTCTAGTATTGATATTATGTAACAATACAACAAACTGTATGTCTAACAATACTGCCTAGAACTAGACAAAGAAAATAATGTATTGTTAACTGGAGAGATATTTATCCACTTTCTGTTCTGATTATGGACCACCACTTCTTCAGTAAGGTAACAGAACGTATGCATGTGATGTCATATATTCATTACTTCTGTTCAAAGATGTTTTTTTGTCATAAAGAATTACTTTAGGTGTCAAAGGCTGCTTCTATAGTTTGGTATGTGATAGGACCGATTAGAACTTACACTTTATGAAACTTTTTTATTTGAGGATACATCAAAGATCATTTACATGTTTAATATGTACTTACTGTTACAATGTATATAACTTTGCAAGATTTAAAATATGTAGTATGCTGTTGGTGAGAGAAAATGACTAAGGATCAGAAAAGTTAATACATGTATTGGTAAGAAGAAGATCTTCAACTAGAATTCCTGGTTCAAACTTCAGATTACATGTACATGCACAAAAATAGAAAATGTAGTAGAAAAAACTAGAGATAGAATAATGCTACATGTACATATAATTCAGTGTGAGGAGATTTGGGCAAGCTATAGTTGTACTGTATTTCAAGAAGTCTTTTGAAGCAGTTAAGTTAAAATCAAATATATGAAATCATGATTTTGCTTCAAAATTTCTACATAGTGTAAAATGAACAGACCAACAGTTTTGTTTAGACTTTACATTGAATGCCTTAAATGACATGAAAACCAGCTCAAACATATATTATGTCGCAAAGAAAAACTTTGCATTTCTAAATTATATTTTATACTTCAACTTGTAACCTAAAACATCTGCTTATTTCACAATTTTCTTTGCAAAACTAAGATTTGCACATAGACCAAAACTGCTAAAAGAGTTCAAATAAACCTCTTCCCTTTTTCTCTTTAAAATTCAAAGTAAAGTAAAATAAATAAAAGAACTTAAAGAGAACGTAATGCAATCGTAATGTTAATGAGTATTACAGAAGCTAAAATACCGTACAAAATGTTTGTATACAAAAGAAAATCAGTGACAAATGAGTTTTTATAATGACTACAATGAGTTTTTAATTTTACATTGTAGGCAATGGAAGGTGTAAAAGAGAGTTAAGTTACAGAAGGCGTAACCTGGAGCTTAAAGTCACTTTTAACTAGAATAGCCTTTTGTTAAGCTTAAAGTATAACGTTAACATCAGATATATTGCAGTCGCCAATTAGTTGTGAAGAAGAATGTCAAGCTTGTTAGATGAAAATTATGTTTTATATCAGCATAAAGAATTGAAGGGCGAATGAAATTAATGACATAAACAGTGCAGGACCTTAAAGCAATTTCAACACTCTAAATACAGCGTATGGCTATGACATGTACATTATGACCTCTGAAAACTGACCATCAGCAGTGTTTAGCAATAATGCAATTGCTACACCAAATAGTCTGACAAAGTGACCTGGATATTTGGTGTGAAGTAAAAAACCACTTTTTAAGACCTAATATTATTCCAAGCATTTCACAAATCTTAAATTTGAAGTTAATTTGACAAGTCCAAATCAGTCCAAGACTCATCTAAATGAGTTTCAAGGAAGTTTACACATCAATTTGGCCCTCTTATAATAATACATGTAATACAATTGATAAGTGTATTAAGATATGTTTAATAACTGAATACAAAAACATTATTGCAGGCTGTTGTAAAGTCATAATTTGGCCTTTACCCTCATAATGCCGTTCTCCATCTCAAAGTAAGAGTTAGGCTTTAAACACTAAAAAAACTAAGCAACCCCTAACTGCAAGCTCAAGACAATATGTTCCTCAGATGGATAAAATCAACCCAAGGACACATCAAATTTACAATGCAGTTTGAAAGATGCTTGCCATGTACATTTCTTATCTAACACTTTAATTAAAAAAAAAGATAATGTGAGTGCAGCACTTTTCATTTTACCAAATTAAAAGATAGCAAGTAATTGCCATAGTATAACAATGTGTTTCACATTTTTAAATTATCATAAACACCCTGTTATCATCTTAACTAAATTTATATTATATAAGTTTTTGGATATTAACATTTGTTCAAGAAATTAAATTCTGATAAGATTTTGATTTAAGATAGCTGTACTTGAGGTACTTGGATCATAATATCAAACCAAAATTACGTTCAGAAGATTTACATTCTATTTCCACTTTAATCGAAGGTTTATTAAATATATTTTGAGTAAAGTAATATCCTTACAAAGAGGGCATTTCCTGTTCTTTGACACTGGAGGTTTTCACAGGTGAGCTGGTTAAGTGCACAGGTGTTTTTTCTTACAAACTGTACCTGTCTTTTTGAATTTATCAATTATGGTAAAAATCATACAATAAATTTTGTCAATTATCTTTTTTTCTTTTTCATATCTTTTCAATCAGTATTTAAGTATTTTAACAATAATCTGAACAATATACATTTCATAAACTTTTACATTGTCACCAGAAAAAAAAATGATATTTAAACAAAAGTCAATCCCATAAAGTTGTAATGTAATTTGTAGATCATACCCTAATAAATTTTATAAATATACCTTTCAAAGTTCAAATACACCAATCTAATCATCTGCTTTAATAATCAAAATTTAATTCATGATTTTAGAGACTTAAAAGCTTTGCAGATTCAAATTCAAGAAATTTAATAAAATATCAGCAATCTCGTTAATCATCACTGAAAAAGGTGTTGATGCAGAAGCCAACAACATTAAAGAGCTACCACCGCTATTAACAGATAACACTTTGCAGAGATGATCCACTTAACCTCAAAATATCAAATATCAAATGAAACAATGTGTCACCAGCTAACTTATAAAAAATTCATATGTGATTATGACTGCTCATTGATTCCTGATTTTCTATTTACAAATTTAAATGTAATTTTAAGCTAATATAAACAATGACTCATTGTGTACACTTCCTCAAGTATTGCTCTAAACTTGTTTGAACATTCAATGCCCAAAACCATATGAATCGATTTTGATTAAACATCTAAAAAGTGACGAGACCTCAGTCGCCAGTGATTGTAAATTACGTTATCGTTACATTGGCTGGTGTACACATCTTTTTTCACAGTTTAATATATGTGAGAAAGTTTGCTGAAGCCCATCATTTATTCATTGTGATAGTTCAATTTCTTTCTTTGTTGTTATGGTCATCTATGGGGAATTTAATCCCGCTTCACTAGTTATCATACTATCAAATTACAAATTAATTCGTCAAATTTGAATAATTTGCATATTGCAAGATATGGGTATAATGTGACATGTCAATAGGAATGTTGAATAATGGATGTAATTTATCAGATGATAATAGATTGGTCACTGCTGGTCAAAATTTTTCAAACCCATCCAATGGATGATAGAAAATGTGATAAAGGAATTCCAAAGATGGTTTAAGATAATCTTCATTTTATATTTTTCTTTATGAATTGAATTTCTTTTCAAATTGCCCTCATGAATAAGTATTCTTTAAACTGAAGAAATAGGAAAAAATTTTCCCACATAAGCATGATAAGAAAACAAATTAATTTGAATATTCAGTTTTTCTTTTCTTTTCTTTAGTGGAGGTTATGAAATGTTGGAAATCAACATTTTATTGACAGATTTAAGACTGTTAAATAGCAGTAAAACCCCTTTTAATTTCTAAGACACGTATCACTTTCGTCATAATTGCTGACAGTCTAACATAAATGCAAACTTAATACAGACAAAAGACTTTTTCCTCGTTATATAAAGTTAATAGGGAAAGCTTTTGTTTTAATAGAATTTATTGTGCATATCATGTATATAGAGATGAAAAATATTTATCTTAATTATTGTCAGCATTATCACTAAGTAGACTTAATTAGGATCACATGATACCTACTGAGTATGTTGACAGTTTGCTTATTTTAAATTATCAGATACTTGTGTCAGAATTCACAACTCATGCTGTTTCATAGCAAATAACAAATTAACACTCAATTCATAAACGATTTTGCATGTATGAAATAGATTTGACATCAATGAATAACATGATGTAGAATTTATTGATTTAGAATTACATAAATTCCTGTATACAAAGAAATCAGTTTGTGTCTTTTTAACAATTAAAACATTTATAAATATATTTTAGGCTTATATCTACAAAGAATTTTTGTGGCTTAATTTTTCCCAAATAGAAATATAATTTAAACTTGAAATTTCTTTGTGCTCTTTAAAGTAACTGTGTTATCTACATATGTATTGTTAAAGACAAAACACAGTCATACATTGTGTGTATACATGTATAATTACCCTGTATTTTTTGCTAGATATTGTCTTTGGTTTAGTTTTAAATCTACATTGTACCAATTATTTTATCAATTTAATGTTTATTTGTCATGATAACCATGGAAAATTGGGTAAAATCCCTCGTAAATAATACTTCCTAAAACTTAACATTGATTTATGGCAACAAATTAATTTTATAAATTGTTTATTGAATAAGAAAAAAAAAATATGTGTATCACTTGAAAAATGAATTCTTTTTATAAACAAGTAACACATGCTGGACTCTTGTATCTTGACATTAATGTTTTGTTAATGTGTTGTTTACATGACATAAAGGATGTTTTTAGTTATGTTCCTCTTACCTTGTGAGTTTTTGACATAACCCCAAGGGCCTGAACATCATGATCAACATGACGTCCCTCTTGTCGACACACATAACACACAGGCAGTTTACAAAATAAGCAGTACATGCTTAGATGTTCTTCTTCATGATCTATACATTTTGCCTCACTAGCTTTATTTTTGGCCCGTAATATAGCTCTCCCTTGAATTGGTCCCACCATATTATGTTTTGCCAAAGGTCCCCTTGAAGGGTGGCAAACATCTTTACATGTATCACAATAAAAAATTTCACATTGTTCACACATGCTGCATGCATCTTTAGCATCAGAATGATCAGTTTGTTCACACATTTGACATTTACTTGTATTATTTTGTAATTGTTTACATTCATTGCAATATTTCTCCACAATAGCCTCAAGAATAGTATTTTTGGGTAGAGATTTATATCCACTTTCATCTAAAAATACAGGTTTTTTACAGACAGGACATTTCACAATATAAGAACTTCCCTGTACTGAAGGTAAAATATTTCCACTGCCAATGTAGCTACTAGGTCTACTATTACATACAACTCCACTGTCAGTTTCACTAACTAAACTTAATTTATCATAATCTTTAAGAAGATCTGTATCCCCTAAAATTTGTAACAAAGAACTATCCTCAAATTGAGACATAAATTCCTGTGAAGACTCCTGCATATTTCCAGCACACTCTAAACAAACAGAGTGAGAACATGGGAAAAAGACGGGCTTGGAATAAAATTTTCTACACTCAGGACATTTAAGTTCCTCATCCATAGTCGCACCTGTATGAAGTGCAATGCCGTTTCAAAGGAAGCGGTTGTTATCATCTGCTATCTCGTGGGTCACGAGATGTTGCGAGAGAAAATGACAACAACAATGGCAGCCTCCAGGATCTCTAGAAAACTTTTCAATCTTTTACCAGTTTGTAAGAAAAGACAACATATATCAATTCAATATTTAAACTCACAGATTTCAAACTCAACAAATCACCGTTTTCTATCAAGGTAAGTTCATATATTTAGTTGCAAAATGAGATAAACTAAAACATGTCAGTGTGATAGAACTAAATACCAACATAAAAAGATCAAAAGGAACCGTGTAGGACTAGAGTGGAAAGAAAGACAACAAGTACTCACAAATAAGTTCTTATGTAAATGTCACTGCATTAACCTTTGAACTGCGTTTCCTTATTATTTTTTTTTTTGCAATTAAGAGGATCAGTCCAACCACAAAAATCTTAAATATTATCCCCCCAAAATTAAAATAAATTAAAAACCATGAGTCGATGAAGGACAGGCAACTCTTACAGCGACAAGAAGAAAAAAAGGGGGGGGGGCCAGAATACAATTATAGGAACCAGTTTCGCTAATTAGAGAAGAAGAATTTAAGCGACAAAAGGCATCAGGAAGCAACAAAAAGAAAAAAAAAAGCAACTAGAAGAAAAATGAGCGACAATAAAGTTTATATACTATCAAAAGGATAAATTATTAGAAAGTCAATTGATTACAGCTGATTATTTGTTGTTTAATGATTTTTCAAATTTTGTTTTATTTTAAAATACACTTATATTAAAAAAAAACACTCTTTAATGCATGTTTCTATATTTATTTATTTTAAATAATAAATATTAAGATTTATTGGCACTTTATTAGTCTTCTTGTCGCTAATTTATTTTTATTGTCACTAAATTATTCTTCTTGACGCTTCTTGTCGCAAATTAGTGAGACCCCTATTAAAACAATAAATTTATAGAAAAGTAAATTAATTGCCGTTGATTGTTAGTTGTTTTATAAAGTTTCATATTTTGTTATTCTAGCACTACAGTCTAGTAATGATTTTTTAATTGAAAACTTCGTTAAGGTATGATTTTGTAACAATCTTAGAATCTCATTATGACAATTCGCAAATCATTGATAGTTGAATTATATAGATAAAAGAACATGGCAATTATTCTTAATATAAGAGCATAAAGGAGGAGCTAATCCTTCAATCATTTGATCATACTTATGTGTCCATAAATAATAGAGAAATTTACCTAAAAAATTAAAGAATAAAGAAATGGTGAATCTTGAACAGAAAAATTATTTCTAAATTATCAAAAAAGTTGTTTTTCAGTACCCTATTTGATTTACAATCTAATATAAAATGTTTTTCATCTTCTAAAATACAGATCCTGTGTGTCCAAGCTTTGCCTACAAGGATTTGCTTGTAAGCAAAGCTTAAACAAAGGATCTGTATTTTAATCAGATTGGATTACCTTATAATTTGCTTATAAAAAAGTTAAAATTTATCAAATGATTTTATCCACTCAAACTCCCAGGTTTTGCTGGAGTAGCATACATTTATTTTTGATACTAGAAAATATTTTTTATAAGCTCTGCTGCCCAGTTGAACTAAATAACCCTATCACCTTGTACTTAATATAAAATCTTCAGTTTAAGATTCATAGAAGCAAACTGCTATTGCATTGATTTTTTGTTTACATTTTTTTTTATATATAGTTTTATTCTCATTTTTGTAATGGGACTTCTAATTATGATAATGAAGTGAAACATGTAAAAGCTTATACTTGTGTTCTTTTTATAGCATAATCAATCATGCAAACATTTCTGAAATTATTTACAACTGTCATGCACCTTCTGTATAGATACATGTTGATAGATTTATTGATTGAATATCAACATAAAAACATTGCAAAATTAGTGTAAAACAATAGCAGACATGTAAACATACTAAAATCATAAAATTTTAAAACAATTGTTAATACCAAATCTGGATTGCCCATGAAAGCCTTACAACTTATTTTCAGTTTTGGGTCCATTTATTTTACATTCTTAAAAATATTAAGATACAGTTATAAATAAGAAATCATGACTTTTGCAGGTTTTATACTAATTATACTAAAATCATAATTGATAATGACATTGACTGGAACATTCAAGCATTCAATAAAATATAATTTGCTAATAAAATTGTTGCTTTCCTTTTATGATAAAAAAATCTTTAACACCAGATTTCAAAGATTCAAAATTTTTGTTGCTCTTTAAATCATTTGGCAACAACTTCCAATCCTTTATAGCATTATAATAATAAAGTCTGTTGCCCTTTTATAGGAGGTATAAAAAATTATAGTCACTAGATCTTGTTGAATGATTATGACAACCTTTGATCATAGTAAAATTGCCTGGGTTCTTTGAGAATCTATTAGGCAAAAAAGAGGATTCATTCTTAAAAGGTCTGAATAAGTTAACCTATCACTCTTTATGGAAGTATTTGATATATATGAAACCCTTTATGCATGATAGATATATTTTCTTTGATACTACATGCATATTAAATCATTTATGTATAAGTGATGTCTTTTTTAGTAAAAATCAAAATATCTGTTGTTTAAGAAAATTTTAACTTTTTGCATGTAGAGTTTGTGAAATGACTGTATTTTTTATTTACTTAGTTCCACACAAGAAAGTTATGACATTGTCATTGTTGGAGGCGGTATTGTCGGTATGGCAACAGCAAGAGAAATACTAGGACGACATCCAAATTTGTCAGTTGCAGTACTGGAAAAGGAATCTAAAATATGTAAATAATAAGTTATTAACTACCTATATTTACCTGTGCCACTCTTGAAACCTCTATTTTAGATATTTCCACAATTGCCAACCTGTAGAAGTTACTTTGGCAGATCATGACCCAAAATAAGGATTCAAATATTTCTTAAAAAAGCAAATTCTTATCTGTTTATTGAGGATCTTCTTACCTATCAGTGAGGGGTGGAAGAACCTGGGATGACACCTCTCCTACTGCCCCTCATCAGTGTTCTTCCTTGAATTATCAATTATAAACAGGCAGGCAGGCAATTTTTAAACAGTTTTGTTTCTCTAAATTATAACGAGAAATTCATTTCTGATAATATCAGAACAGGTTCTAGCACATTCCTCTGTTTTTTTTATTTTTCTTGACAGAAAGGTCAACAAAATCATTTTAAACATTGATCATGTTGCTAAAGCAAGGTTAGTTTTAATTGCAAAAAATAACTAAAAACTTGTAATCTACTAAAAAAGCATCAGTATTGTAATTTTTGTCATAAAGATTCAGCCAATAGTTAAAATAGTGCAGAAACAGAAACAAAATTCATTACAAACCACCATTCGGGAGTTTCTAATTTAAAGTACAATACCACATGATTATAGTTTAAAAGATCCTGTGCACAATAAGACATGAGAAGTTATTTTCCTGTCCCATAGCAGTGCTCCAGCTAGAAATTGAAAGTGGTTGGGTGACAGTGGAGGACAGGGCACATTTTAAGGTTGGGAAAGGATAGTGTGTTTTGAGTTTATTTTCATTGTTTAAAGTGCATTATTTACACAAGATCTGTTTCAGAAGGGCCAGGTAGGGTGCTTATTTTATTAATGTATAAACATTCCTCTAGAAAGACCACCTCTATTTTGAGTCCATTTGTAGTTGTATTATGATGCAGATAGTCTTATAAGAGGAGGTATACTTTTGCTTCAACAAGTCTTCTTGTGATTGATAAATGGGTCAATGTTTAATGTATAGTGGCAAAGGATTTATACAAGATGTCAAATGGAATTATTTTTTTCAAAGACTTCAAAGAGTGGAAATATATATGGATAGTAGACCATTAAAAGGCTGCTCTTTCATGATCATTTACTAGCATAGATAAAAGCTGCTAGAGATGGCATTTTCTTCAACTGAAACACCACATTTTTATGCATTATTTCAGTAAATCTTTTAGTTTTACTAGCAAAATTAGACAAAAATATTTTTATACATTAATTTAATCATGTTAGTGAATTAAATCAACAATTTATTTTTAATTATGCATTTTTTAAGTATCACTTTTAGTAAGAATGCACATCTAATATATTTTTTTTCTTCAACTGAACACAACATTTTTTTTTATACCTGTAGTCCTTACTGTTTGTGTGTCGTTATTTCAGAAGAATTTTATGTCATTAAGTCATTGTTTTGATATATTGTAGCCCCTCACCAGAGCGGACATAACAGTGGAGTGATACATGCTGGTATATACTATACACCTGGTAGTCTGAAGGCCAAGCTGTGTGTGGAGGGTGTAGAACTTCTGTATAAATACTGTGATGAAAATAATGTGCCATATAAGAAGTGTGGTAAGGTAGGTAACTGTCTAATATCTCAATGTGTTGATGACATTTTTAAAATATTCAATCAGAAATCAGTTTGTGATAATTTTTGCTGAAAAAAATCAGTTTGAATTAATTTTCTACATATAAAGATTTAAAGTTGTCAGTTACTGATATAATATGCATTGTCTTTGACTCCAAGATCTGCTTTTGAGCAAATTTGTTTTAAACTTTTTTCAAGGATGGCTTTTATTAGTAAATGAAACAAATGCATACTGTGGATTCATTTATTAGTATTTGGATACAAATTTTTATACGGCCGCAAAAAAATTTTTGTGGTCGTATATTGGTATGACGTTGGCGTCGTCGTCGTCGTTGTCCGAAGACACATTGGTTTTCGCACTCTTAACTTTAGTTGAAGTGAATGGATCTCTATGAAATTTTACCACAAGGTTCAATACCACAAAAGGAAGGTTGGGATTGATTTTGGGGGTTATGGTACCAACAGTTAAGGAATTAGGGGCCAAAAAGGGGCCAAAAATAAGCATTTTTGTAACTTCCAGACATAACTTGTGTGTTAGTGTATGAATCTCTCTGACATTGTACCACAAGGTTCCATATCACAAAAGGAATGCTGGGATTGATTTTGGGGGTAATTGCCTCAAAATTTTAGGAATTAGGGGCCAAAAAAGGGGCAAAAAACAAGCATTTTTCTAGTTTCATGACAATAACTTGTGTATAAGTATATGGATCTTTCTGAAATTGTACTACAAGGTTCCATATCACAAAGGGAAAACTGGAATTGAGTTTGGGGGTAATTGCCGAAAACGTTAAGGAATAAGGGGCCAAAAGGGGGCCAAAAATAAGCATTTTTCTAGTTTCCAGACAATAACTTGTGTTCAAGTGTATAGATCTCTCTGAAATTGTACTGCAAGGTACCATACCACTAAAGGAAAGGCTGGGATTGATTTTGAGGGTAATTGCCTCAAAATTTTAGAGATAAGGGGCCAAAAAGGGGCAAAAAAACAAGCATTTTTCTAGTTTCATGACAATAACTTGTGTGTAAGTGTATTGAAATTGTACTACAGGGTTCCATATCACAAAGGGAAAGCTGGAGTTGAGTTTGGGGGTAATTGCCCAAAACAATTAGGAATAAGGGGCCAAAAGTGGGCCAAAAATAAGCATTTTTCTAGTTTCCAGACATAACTTGTGTGTAAGTGTATGGATCTCTCTGAAATTGTACTGCAAGGTACCATACCACAAAGGGAATGCTGGGATTGATTTTGGGGGTAATTGCCTCAAAATTTTAGGAATTAGGGGCCAAAAAGGGGCAAAAAAACAAGCATTTTTCTAGTTTCAGGACAATAACTTGTGTGTAAGTGTATGGATCTTTATGAAATTGTACAACAAGGTTCCATATCACAAAGGGAAAGCTGGGTTTGAGTTTGGGGGTAATTGCCCTAAACGTTTAGGAATTTGGGGCCAAAAAGGGGCAAAAAAACAAGCATTTTTCTAGTTTCCAGACAATAACTTGTGTTCAAGTGTAGGGATCTCTCTGAAATTGTACTGCAAGGCACCATACATTGTAACACAAAGGGAAGGCTGGGATTGAGTTTGGGGGTGATGAATCATAAGGGGGTTCAAAAAATTTTAAGTTAGTAGACCACATTCATTCTGTGTCAGAAACCTATGCTGTGTCAAATGTTTAATCACAATGCAAATTCAGTGCTTGAATGTTGTGTCCATACTTGCCCCAACAGTTCAGGGTTCGACCTCTGCGGTCGTATCAAGCTGCGCCCAGTGGAGCATTTAATTGTGGATTGAGGAAAAATTGTATTTTTGTGGATATTTAATTTTTTGGTATTCTCAAATTCTGTATACAAGCTTATGGAAAATGTTTTCTTCATTGAACATTTTTTTTAAATGAACCTTAAATTTGTGGTTAACTTATACCTGAGGAATCCATGAAAATTGGTGTCATTGGTATTACACGAATAATAATGAATCCACAGTAACCAAATTGTCTTGCAAAACAAGACACAATGCTTAGACTTTACCAATTAAACTCTTACATGCAAGAGTAAGCATTTACAGATATATTTTAACATGACATGTATTTATGACTGGCGGTGTACATCTTTAATGAATAAAAGGAGGTGTGATGTATAAAATAACTGAGAGAACAACACAACAACACAAAATAACAAAAATAAAGTCTCCCAAAAATTATTTTGAATTTTAAATTGGATCAAAACTTAATGATTTTGAGGGTTCTTACATTAAAAAAATTAAGTGCTAAAAATAGATATAGTCGTAAGAAGTTTTAACACCTAGCTTGAACTGATACTTTATATTATTAGCTGATTGTGGCAGTCACACCAGAAGAAATTCCAAGACTTGAGGGCCTATTGAAAAGAGGAAATGAAAACGGGGTCAAGGACTTAAAAATGGTTGAATCCCATGAAATTAAAGAATATGAACCGAACTGTGTAGTGAGTATAATGATCAAGCTTTTTTTATGCAAGTTTAATGCAGAAGATGATTAGAGTGCCAGCAGCAACTTGAATACCAGATCATTGCATACCACAGGAAACTGTGCATACATTTATCTTTGATATGAACAAGACTAGGGCCATGCAAAATTACATGAGAAAACCTTTCCATCATTTAAAGAAGTTAAAACCCTATATAATATATTTTTAAGAAACAAACTTAACTTCCCTGCTTCCAAGAAGTTAAAAGATGTTTTAGAGGGAAAAAAATCATGTTTTCATAGGCTGGAAGTTGAAAATATACATTTAAAAGAATAACAACTTTAATTTTGAATTATAGAAATTGTTGGTATTCATACATTTACAGTACCAAAGAATGACTAATTCAAATGTAAAACAGTGATGTATTTACATGTATAGCAATAGTGTATAATTTTTCAACAATTTCAACTTTTAAAGGATTTTAATCAATGAAAATTATTCATCAGCTAACACAAATTCTCAGAGATAACCAAATATGCTCCTCACTTTTATGTCATTAGGCAGATTAAAGAGAAAAATACTGATTGCTACCAGCAGAAAGGTGAAATTTGTGCTAGGGTTTCAAGAATTTGACATTTCATAGCAAAAAAGCATTTTTTTTTCAATTGAAATTGTATTCAAATATTGATTAGATGATAATTTAATTGACTTTATGAGTAACAAGGGCACCTAATAAGGTCATCCTCTACCTAAAAAAAAAATTGAGGTTAAGGGGAAACAGCATTTTTTCTCCATATCTTTGCTGTAAAGTAGTTATATGCACACTTGCCTGGCAATTCAAATTATGTATTCTTATTCCAATATGAAAAAGATGAAAAATCAACTTTTCTGAACAAAGCCTATTCACCATTTATTATCAATAATATTTTCGCAAATCTGGAAATTTGCATGAAATGATGTTATACCAATTCAGTGTTCCAGCTAGCATGAAATGGAGGGGCGCCGCGCCCCGCCCCCGAAATTTTGCGCCCCTCTGCCTTTTTTAAGCGCCCCTGCTCCCCTCTGTGCCCTTTTGAAAAAAGTTTTAAAAAAACCGATCTTTTTTACCTCATATCGTCGCCATTTTGTTGAGTTCTTTATACACACACTTCATTAAGATAACAGATCAAAATTGTTGACACTTGTTACCTGTATATAATCACCTATTTGATTAGAGTCAATTACTTAATCAGGTGAAATTTACGACCCTGTCTAATCCCTTTGCCCTGAAGCACCAAACATCCAAGTTAAATGAATTGTTTTTTTAACACCTGACGATGCAAAATAGAATTTATAAAATAAATGTGAACGATGTCCATTTCTATTGTATTTGTTATTTATAAAATAACGTTCGTTAAAAAAGAATCATTCCAATAGTATATTGTAAATCGTCAACACGCAAAATGCCGACGAAAAAGAGAAAAATTGACCAACTCGAAAATGACAAGAAGAAAATATCAAAGACTTGTCAGTCAATTACATCTTTTTTCAAGAATAATGACCATCAAAGGTAAAAAAATAATTTAATTCTTTACTTTTATGAAAAATCGAGAAGAAGAAAGGTTTCTATCAGATATCGCAATTGTTCTTCTATTGTAAATTCCGCCGATTATGGAGCACTCGAAAGTCCGATTTTTATATCATTTTTCTTAAATTGAAATCCGTTTTGACTAACTTTAATATTGATATTATTAGATACGCTCAACATGAAATATACGGAGATACTTGTTAAATTGATAATAAACTTTCAAAGTTGAATTAATTTATTATTGTGCCGATTACGGAGCTATCGAAAGTCCGATTTTTGTATCAATTTTCTTATTGAAATCCGTTTTGACAAACTTATTGATTTTATTAGATACGCTCAACTTGAAATATACGGAGATGCTTGTTGAATTGATAATAATTAAACTTTCAAAGTTGAATTAACAAACTTATTTGTTGAATTAATCTATTTCTCAAGATCGAAATAAAGACAATTGTCTCATTGGCACTCTTATTTAAATTCACAACCAAACCTACACAATTTTCAATGTATGTAATAGTATAGAGTATTTAACTTAGCTACATGCTTGCTAAAAATATGTCATTATGTGGTAATATTAAGTATTTGATTTTTTTCAATGAGAAAGCGCTAAAGTGCCCTTTTTTAAAAACGCGCCCCTCTATTTTCAAATCCTAGCTGGAACACTGCAATTGAGAAATATCTTTTTTTAGGGATTGAAAGCCATACACTCCCCTCATACAGGGATCATTGATTATGCAGAAGTAACAAGATCTTATGGAAGGACATTTGAGAAAGCAGGTGGTAAAATCTATACAAACTTTGAAGTGAAATCTTTGGATGTTACAAAAGAAAGTTCTCCAGAATCATCAAGTGGCATCACACATCCTGTTACTGTGAGGGGAGATAACCAAGTAAGTGTCAAAAATTGACTTCATATTGTTTTCAGAATATTAATATTATTTCTTATTTCTGATGTTTAGCATTTAGAATGCTTCATATATTATGTTACTTTTAGATTTTTGTGGATCACCACTATAATAGTGAAAACAAGAACTGCAGCAATAAGTTTGTATTTGCATTGACAGAGAATTTGTTTAGTACATGAATATGTTTATCATTATTTACTGAATGTTTTTAATCATAGATCTATGGAATTCAGCAAGCCATTAATAGTCAGCCTTTTTCAATATATTTAAAAAAAGATTTACACAGCATAGATTAAGGACCAATTATGAGCTTTATAAATAATTGAAAGTAGTTATATGGAAAAGAAGTGTTTGAAACATTCTGAATGCTTTGGGATATCTATATTTTATGACAATATGCACATTTTGAATATGGGCCACGAAACCCAAATTTCAAAACTTTGTACATGTACTTTGACTAGGTCACCAAAAATGTGTTCATCTGACTTTAAAGTCAGTATGTCTGTAAATGAATGAACGATCTTTGATTTTCTTTTATGGTAGGTAGGCAGTCATAAATCTTATTGTTACACAAAAAAATAAAACTTATGTCCCTGAAATGGCCAAAATTATATTTGAACATAGATTTTGAGCATGTTACAAAATTTGAATGACAATGTTGAATAAAGTTATTTTTTTAGGCAGTGCAGTGTAGATATGTTGTGACTTGTGGAGGACTACATTCAGACAGACTGGCAGAACTATCAGGATGTAATAGGGAACCAAGAATAGTCCCATTCAGGGGAGATTACTTGTTACTAAAACAAGAAAAATGTGATCTTGTTAGAGGCAATATATATCCAGTATGTAAACATTGGGAAGATGTTCAGAAAGTTTGTAACAAGGGAGATAATTGAACAATATCTGGTCTTTACATTTGATTCTCCGTAAGCGTGTTATAAAGGCCTTAGTTTCCTAAAAATGCATAAAAGATTACAAGTAGTATGTACAAAGTTTTCAGCTGCAATGTCTTTGAAATTTATATGAATATTCACCTATTTTTCAGATCAAATGATTGTATATATATACAGATATAAATTTTCTAAAAAAAAAAATGACAAAAAATGCCTAGTTTTGAATGATATTTTTGAGTTGGAGGCATGCAAGATTCAGGTAAAAGAGAGGCGAAAGATACCAGATTGACATTCAAACTCATAAGTCGAAGACAAACTGACAACGCCATGGCTATAAAAGAAAAATACCCACAGACAAACACCAGTATACAAAACACAACATAGAAAACTAAAGACTGAGCAACATGAACCCCACCAAAAATTGGGGGTGATCTCAGGTGCTCCAGAAGGATAAGCAGATCCTGCTCCACATGTGGCACATGTGTTGTACAAGCAGACAATCACTATGATAAATTAATTAGTTTTAGTATGGTATTATCTCAACTTAAGAATAGTCATGAACAAAAATCTTTCATTATTAGTTTAAATCATTGTTGAAAAAAGGAAGAATAAGTCAAATCTATCCCTTACTACAACCTGTTCTATGTAAAGTCAAATCTACCCCTTACTACAACCTGTTCTATGTAAAGTCAAATCTATCCCTTACTACAACCTGTTCTATGTAAAGTCAAATCTACCCCTTACTACAACCTGTTCTATGTAAAATCAAATCTACCCTTTACTACAACCTGTTCTATGTAAAATCAAATCTACCCCTTACTACAACCTGTTCTATGTAAAGTCAAATCTATCCCTTACTACAACCTGTTCTATGTAAAGTCAAATCTACCCCTTACTACAACCTGTTCTATGTAAAGTCAAATCTAACCCTTACTACAACCTGTTCTATGTAAAGTCAAACATTTTGGGAGACTTTTCTGTCAGTACATAAACATTGTTTAAAGTTTGTAATTGGTTTTTTAGTTTGTTTGTTGGAAAGTAGGAATCCAATTGGGACGATTCATTACTCATTCAAATTGAAAACAAAAACAGGTAATCTGAGATTAATTCACTGCCAAGCATTGTGTTAGAATATGCTACAGCCAACACTTTTATATCCTAAAAATACTTCAAAACATACATTCATTTCATTTTCTGGAACAGGTTTTGTAGATGATATTATTTGTCGTGCTCTTTAGATTTACTAATTGGTAATCTTAATTTCTAGGTACCAGACCCCAGATTTCCTTTCCTTGGAGTTCATTATACACCAAGAATGAATGGAGATGTGTGGTTAGGTCCCAATGCTGTGTTGTCATTTAAAAGAGAAGGATACAATTTAACAGATTTTAATTTGAAAGATACATTTGATGCTTTAAGTTTTAGGTATGTATTTGTAAGACAAGAAAGGTTTAAACGTATTAAATGACAATAAACAAAAACTTGATTTAAAAAGAGACAAGACAATGTTTATAAGAGAGAGAAAAAAATGTTTAAGACAAAACAAAATGTCATGATGGCAAAACACATAAAAAATTAAGATTGTGTTAACTCTATGTGTCCCAGAAAATTAGTCAGATAAATGTGAATTTTAAGGGTAACTGGTGATTAATTTATTTTTCATGGATACCAATTTTTATGGATTGAGGAAAGATTATGTTTTGTGGATATTTGATTTCGTGGTTTTGCCAAAGTCTACACACAAGCTTATAGAAAATTTATTCTTTATAAACATTTAAACTCTAGGTTTACCTATACCCACTAAATCCACGAAAATTGGTATATAAGGAATGATAATGAATCCACAGTAATCTGGGTGTGTTATAATGAACAATTAAAATTATGTGAAAGTAGGATTTTCTTTCAAAAGGAAAGCTGAACTCATTCTGTAAGTCACCAATGTGTACTAGATCATTACACACTTGTTTACCTTAAATTAACTCATATCTACAGGTATTATTTTTAAAAAAAAAACCAGCTGTTTGAATTAGGTAAAGCGGAATGTCACAACATAGAGAATGCTATATGCCCTGTCCACTGATTGACAAAGGGATAAAATAACATACAATCATTGCTACCTTGATTGTATGTACACCTGTCATGTATTACTGTTATTATGAATAAGATAGAAATTTAAGAAAAAAAAAATTATTTATTCTTTCTTATTCCAGAGGTTTGAGAAAGCTTGCTTTAAGAAATTTAGCTTTTGGTATAAAAGAAATGTATCGTGGTTTTTATATTGGTGCAACAGTTAAACAGTTACAGAGATATGTACCAGATCTTGCCAGGGAAGACGTCATCAGGTAGACATATAATTAAATCTTAAAATATTGTATGAAGATATAAACATGAGCAATTTGTATAATCAGTATTCAAAGCTCATTTCAAGCTTCATAACAAGCATTTGAAGTAGCAGCACAGATCTAGAGGTGGGATGTGTTATTTTTGTTTTGACAGTTGCAGTCAACAGCCAGACATTGGTATTCCTTTTCAGTGGTGATTATTGAGTTAATAGTCTCATACTTTCATATGCTATTCCCTTTTTCACTAAGGTCAACCAAATTTTTGAAGTGTTTTTGTTCTAAATAGTACAAAAGTGCAGAAATAGAGGAATCTGAAGATATAAAGTCCAGTCTACTGATGATAAAAAAAAGGGGGAAGGTGTGTTTATGGTTTCTAAGCAAATATTGATAAGGAAAGTAGTCTCTGGAGTTGTGTTTTTTTGGGGGTTATTTTTTGTGAAGTGCGAGAAATGTCACAAGACAGACAATATCTTTTCTCTATATAGTCTGGTGCCAATGTAAAATCTACTGTTTTACTGTCAGCTCACAGTTTGTAATCTGTCAATGAACAAATTGATGATAATTGATATTGCTTTGATCAATTTTGTATTTTGTATTTTCATAGAATAAGCTTTCAGTAGGAACAACTGAATTTATTCTTATAGTGAAAAATTGACGGTTGAAAAATCCACATAATATCATTAGGGTTGGTTGGAAAACCCTAAAATACACAATTTTATTTTTTATAAGCTATACTTCTGCTGCCAACTACTTCAATTATGTCTTTTTAAATAAAAAGCATTGGATAAATTTTGTATACTTTCAGGGGTCCATCAGGTGTGAGAGCTCAAGCATTAGATAGAGAAGGACAGTTAGTAGATGACTTTGTATTTGACAGCGGTACAGGAGATCTCGGCAGTAGGATATTACACGTAAGGAATGCTCCGTCACCAGCAGCAACATCGTCTCTGTCTATAGCTAATATGGTTACAGATAAAGTAGAACAGACATTCCAATTATAGTATTAGTCTGCTTTAGGAATTATGGTGCAATATCCAGCAATTTTTTATATTAGTTCATAGCCTGTGATAATTATTTAAATTTTTTATGATTATTGTCTGTTTTTGATAATTCATTCAAGGGGAGATAATTATGTGACTGTAATATAAAATAATCCTTCATTCAAGGGGCGATAATTATGTGATCATAATATAAAGAAAAAAAACTGTTTTCCTAAATTTGTCAATTGTTGATGCATGTAAACCAATTTTAAACTTTAGGTAGCAATACACAGTTAGGAAAAAACCTTAAAAATGACACTCATAATTTCTAACCACCTTTTTTCCCTTCCTTTTTAATAAATAAAACTTTATATTTGTGTTATGCATGTGTATATTTATGGAAAGAGCATCTTCCATAGATTTTATTTCAAATAGTTATAATGGTGAAATATAATCTCTTTTTGGTGTAACCATGGCAACAATCTGCATTTATTTGATACAAAATATTGCAAAAAGGGGGTGAACATGCCACAAAAGTCTCAAAATTTTGGTCCAAAGGAAAATTCCAATCCATTAGAGTAATACCTTTCCTGAAACCATACACATGTATCTATCAAAAGGTCAAATAAAATTTTATATGCATTTCTGCTCGTTTTCCTTAAAATTGAATTGAAAAGATCGAGGGTCAAATCTTTGTTGAAAATACTACACTAATTTCTGGACCTATGGATGTGAAAATACGGACTATCAAACAGACAAATGGCCTATAAAACATGCTAAAAACAATCTAAATGTTCATATAAACCCACTTGGAAGGCCATATTATTCTTCAACTATCTAAAAATCAATTTTATTGTACAAAAACTTTCATATTTAAAAAATTCACCATGGCCAAAATGCGAAACTAAACTTCTAACTGTGTATTGCTACCTTAAAATGTTAAAAAAGGCTGGTCAAGCAAATAGTTGAGATGTACAAATGATGACTTTATTTAACATCAATCATGTGATTATTTATAGAATAACTAAGCCTAGAATTTAAATATAGAAAAATAATCAATGAGCAATAAAACAAGATATTTATTCATGAATGCCTGTATTGCATGAGTTAATCATCAGTGTTTGGTCACGAGTTTAATTTTTAGCTCACCTTTCCAAAGGAAATGTGAGCTTTTGCCATCACTTGGCGTCCGTCGTCGTCATCCGTCCGGTGTAAACTAAACTATTTCAAACATCTTCTCCTCTGAAACTACTGAACCAATTCCAACCAAACTTAAGTTGAATGATCCTTAGGGTATCTAGAATAAAGGTTGTGTTTTATTTTTCTGTTTCTTCAAAAAACATGGCCGCCATGGCTAAAAATAGAACATAGGGGTAAAATGCAGTTTTTGGCTTATATCTCAAAAACTAAAGCATTTAGAGCAAATCTAACATGGGGAAAAATGTGCATTAGGTCAAGTTCTATCTGCTCTGAAATTTTCAGATGAATCTAACAACCCATTGTTGGGTTGCTGCCACTAAATTGGTAATTTTAAGGAATCTTTGCAGTTTTTATACGACCGCCAAAAATTTTGCGGTTGTATATTGGTATCACATCGTCGTCAGCGTCGTCCGAAGACATTTGGTTTCCGGAACAATAACTTTAGTATATGTAACTAGAAATCTATGAAATTTAAACACAAGGTTTATAACTACAAAAGGAAGGTTTGGATTGATTTTGGGGGTTATGGTCTTAACAGTTTAGGAATTAGGGGCCAAAAAGGGGCCCAAATAAGCATTTTTCTAGTTTCCAGACAATAACTTGTCGAAAGGTGTATGGATCTCTCTGAAATTAGACCACAAGTTTCCATACCACAAAGGGATGGTTAGGATTGGCTTTGGGGGGTTATGGCTCAAACCGTTTAGGAATAAGGGGCAAAAAAGGGGGAAAAACAAGGGTTTCCTGGTTAATGGACAATTACTTAAAAGTACAATATTATGTTTGGATTACCTCCCTTACACTGCTTTTAAATTATGTATAAAGAAATGTTGTATTGTCTTGAGGTGATTAGCTGTCAATTTATTTTTAGAAGATACTATTAAAAATGCTGATTAAGGAATATTAATTTTAGCCATGATTATGTATGTCATTTTCTATTTTAAGACTTTTATTATGTATTTAAATGGGTAATTATGGTTGCAAACTCAATTAGAAATTTGAATTGAGATTATGACCATATCTTGAGGGAAAGATTTTTTTTTTTTTGAAAAAGGGGGGTGGGGGAGGTGAAAACAAATTGTGAGGGGGGGGGGGGGGGGGTAAAAAAGAAATTGGGGGGACAAATTTTTGTCATTTCAGATTTCAGAAATTAAAAAGAAAATTTCTTCAAATATTATTTTTTTTATGCAAAAAAAAGTGGGGGGGGGGAGTCAATTCCCAACAGCATAGTGTATTGCACAAAAGCAAAAAATTGAATATAAATTAAAATCATATAACCAATTCTAAGTTCTTTGATTACAGTTATTCTGTGTCAGAAACCTATTATGTGTCAAATATTTAATATCAATCCAAATTCAGACCTGTATCAAGCGCAATATTGTGTCCATTTTTGCCCCATCTGTTCAGGGTTGGACCTCTGCAGTTGTATCTAGCTGCGCTGGATGAAGCAATTTATTGGTTATTATCTTGAATATTATTATAGATAAAGATAAACTGTAAACAGCAAAAATGTTCAGCAAAGTAAGATCTACAAATAAGTTTGTTTGACGGAAATTGTCAATTGACCCCTTAAGTAGTTATTGCCCTTTAAGTACAATTTTACACAATTTGTTTATCATGTTTTCTAACTTTAAAAAATCTTCTCCTCTGAAACTACAGAACCAAATTAAACCAAACTTAAGCTAAATGATTCTTAGGTTATCTATAATTAAGTTTGTTTTATTTTCTGTTTACTCAGAAAACATGGCCGCCATGGCTAAAAAATAGAACATAGGGTAAAATGCAGTTTTTGACATATCTCAAAAACTAAAGCATTTAGAGCAAATCAGACAAGACTGTCATACAAGTGAGAGGTTTAGCTAGCTATAAAACCAGGTTCAATCCACCATTTTCTACATAAGAAAATGCCTGTACCAAGTCAGGAATATGACAGTTGTTATCCATTCGTTTGATGTGTTTGAACTTTTGATTTTGCCATTTGATTGGGGACTTTCCTTTTTGAATTTTCCTCAGAGTTCAGTATTTTTGTGATTTTACTTTTTATACGCCCGTCAAATTTTTGACGGGACGTATTATGGTATACAAATGTCCGGCGGCCGTCCGTCTGTCTGTCCGTCTGTCTGTCCGGGGTAAACATGTCGCACCGTAACTTGAGAATGACTTATCCAAATTTCATGAAACTTAAGATAGTTGTTTCTTATGATGGTCAAACGATCTGTATACTTTTTGGTGAAAATAAGATTAAAACTTTTTGAGTTACGGGACTTAGTAACTAAAACAGGTGTGTGTTTTTTTTCACATGTCGCGCCATATCTCAAAAACAATTTATGATTATTGCTTAAAACTTTACACACTTCTTAGTTATATTAATCTAAAGATCTGTATACTTTTTGGTGATGATTCAAAATTTTATTTTAGAGATATTGAGTATTTTGTTAAAAAAGGGGAGGGGTTTTTCACATGTCGCGCCGTATCTCAAAAACGATTTATGATTATTGCTTAAAATTTTACACACTTCTTAGTTATATTAATCTAAAGATCTGTATACTTTTTGGTTTTGATTCAAAATTTTATTTTAGAGATATTGAGTTTTTTGTAAAAAAAAAAAGGGGGTTTTCGCATGTCACACCGTATGTCAGAAACTATTTATGCTTATTGCATAAAAATTCACACACAAGACGACGGGCGTATCATGCGCTCATGGCGCAGCTGTTTATTAAAGTATTCATTAGGTCAAGGTCTACCTGCCCTGAAATTATCAGCCAAATCGGGTATCTGATTTTTAGGTTATTGCCCCTGATTGATGATTTTAAGGAAATTTTGCAGTTTTCGGTTATTATCTTGAATATTATTATAGATAAAGATAAACTGTAAACAGCAAAAATGTTCAGCAAAGTAAGATCTACAAATAAGTTTTTATGACCAAAATTGTCAATTGACCCCTTAAGGAGTTATTGTCCTTTAAAGACAATTTTTCACAATTTGTTCATCTAGTTTGCTTACTTTAAAAAATCTTTTCCTTTGAAACTGCTGAATCAATTTCAGCCAAACTTGGGCTGAATGAGTTTCAGAGTATCTAGTATAAATTTTGCATTTATTTCCTTGTACGTCAAGAAACATAGCCACTATGGCTAAAATGGAGCATAGGGGTAAAATGCATTTTTTTGCTTTTGAAGAAAATATGACAGATACAAAGAACATTTAAATGGCATTTTTAAGCCACTCGTTAATATATATTGAAAAGCAAAAATAATCATTGATGAAAGATTTAAGCAAAAAATTACAGGTGAGCGATTCAGGTACTTGAGAGCCTCTTGTTTTTTGTTTTTTTTTTAATTTGACTTTGGGTTTAATAGAAATGGAACAGTAAATGCAAGGAACTATGTCTTTTTCTATGCATTCTCAATTTGTTTTGATGCGATGTCACCCAGAATGTCTTGACCTTGTATTCAATAGCAGAAACTGAATTTAATCTTTGTTTTTCATATGAATATTATTTAATTGTGAATTTAATCTTTGTTTTTCATAAGAATATTATTGTCGAGCCTTCGACTTTAGTCGAAAAAGCGAGACATAGCGATCCTACATTCCATCGGCGTATTCGTCGTCGGCTGCGTCCACAAATATTCACTCTGTGGTTAAAGTTTTTGAAATTTTAATAACTTTCTTAAACTATCCTGGATTTCTACCAAACTTGGACAGAAGCTTGTTTATGATCATAAAATAGTATCCAGAAGTAAATTTTGTAAAAATAAAATTCCATTTTTTCCGTATTTTACTTATAAATGGACTTAGTTTTTCTGCCGGGAAATATTACATTCACTCTGTGGTTAAAGTTTTTAAAATTTTAATAACTTTCTTAAACTATCCTGGGTTTCTACCAAACTTGGACAGAAGCTTGTTTATGATCATAAGATAGTATCCAGAAGTAAATTTTGTAAAAAAAAAAATCCATTTTTTCCTTATTTTACTTTTAAATGGACTTAGATTTTCTGCCAGGAAACAACACATTCACTTTGTGGTTAAAGTTTTAAAAAATTTAATAACTTTCTTATATTATTTTGGATTTGTACCAAACTTGGACAGAAGCTTGTTTATGATCAAAAGCTAGTATCTAGAAGGAAATTTTGTAAAAAAATAAATCCATTTTTTCCGTATTTTACTTATAAATGGACTTAGATTTTCTGCCAGGAAACAACACATTCACTCTGTGGTTAAAGTTTTTTAAATTTTAATAACTTTCTTATACTATTTTGGATTTGTACCAAACTTGGACAGAAGCTTGTTTATGATCAAATGCTAGTATCTAGAAGGAAATTTTGTTTTCTTCCAGTTAACATTACATTCAGTCTGCAGTTAAAGTTTTTAAACATTTATTAGATTCATAAACTATCCTGGATTTTTACCAAACTTGGACAGAAGCTTCTTACAATCAAAAGATAGTATCAAGAGGAATATTTTTATTGATTTACTTCCTCATTTTTGTTGAGCCTGCGATTAACAGAAAAAGTAGGCGAGACACTGGGTTCCGCGGAACCCTTACGAATTTTTTAATTGTGAATTTAATCTTTGTTTTTCATAAGAATATTATTTAATTGCTTAAGGTTGTTTCGTATTAAGTGCCTGATATTAGAAGTTTATATTAAGAAATCCAACAGAATTTTTCATATTAAATTACCTACATTAGGTATTAAAGTTGTCTGAAGAAACATGTATTTTATATAGAATAGTGCCATGTTGTAAATGTATAAAGTAGATGAAAATATTTTTTTACGGATCTTTGATAGAAACAGATTGAAATAAACATGCTTAAAAAATGATAAGTACAGTTTTTGAATACATTTTTAGCCCATTTTTTGTATGAATATTACATGCAATGTTGATAAAGAAAAG